GAAATAAACCAATAACATCGGGCTCTCAAACTGAATCATTATTTCCATTTCACAATTTCAAAGGAAAGAGATGAGCTTTGATTAAGAAATGTCCACTATTTATACTAATAATTTTTATCAGGTACTGGTTCTCTGACGGTCTTTAAACGTTCTAATGTCGGTTGGACCACTAAAGTGCCAGCCGTTCGCATTACCGGGTCATGCTCCGGTTCGGTTCTGACAACATTGCAAGTGGGGGATAGTAGACCATGATACATGTGTTTTGTGTGACAAAGTAGGGGAATCAAGGGCGCATATGTTTTTCCAATGTGCTTTTTGTGCACAGGTGGCTGCTTGTGGTACAGGCCTTACCTGGTTTCATCAATCGACATGGGAAGAGATTCTTGTTGCAGCTTGTGCTAGAGCAGGTCAACACAACGCAGAAGGTAGGATTAGATCTATTCTATTGTGTCTCATTTTATCTCATATATGGTATGAGCGATTTAATCGGGTTCATGAGGAGAAGAAGGGGTCTGCAGAAGATGTGATTAAGAGAGTTAGAGCTGATTTGTTGTGGATAGTGGGGTGTAGATTAGGGCTTGAAGCTGATATGAGACACAATGGTCTCTTCTGTAACTAGTTTGTTGTTTGTAAAATGCATATTGGTCCCCCTGTTGTAGATAGTAGTTAAGTGAAGGGATAGAGGCGATGCCTCTCTCGTTGTAATTGGAAGCATTCCCAAAGGTTGTTTGCCTTGTTTCAATAAAATGCGTCTAATTCAACGAAAAATAATTTTGAGTATTTTCCTTCAGTTCCAAGAGCCAGAGTTGTAGGTATAAGTCCAGAAATTATATCTTTTCAGTTTGTAGCTATTAATCCATGCTACCTACAATGATCATTGTTTCAATAATATAAGTCATATGGGCCTCACCATACAAGCCACATTCCAGCTACTCATGTCCGTAAACCCCAATCCACCTTCTTTCTTTGGGAAGGTAAGCTTCTGCCAGACCATATTATCTCTCAGTTTATCACCAACGTTAATCCCCCAAATAAACTGACCGCATATCCTTTCCGCCTCCTTGATGACTGACTTTGGTAGTAGAAACATTGACATCCAAAACTGAGTTAGGCTACACAGTACCAACAAGTTCAATTCTCCATGCATATAACAAAGCTTTAGTCTATTTGCTTCTTACTCATGCCACTAACTTGTCAATGGAAGTTTGCAGGTTGCTATGCTAAATTTACCAGAGAGGAGGGGAACCCCTAAGTATATAACGGGGAATTCCCCCAACTAATATCCATATCTAGCAGCTCTTCTAGCTCTCTCCTCATGCTTTAACCCACAAATAGGTTACAGAGAGTTTCAATATACAAAAAAATAGAACACTCGATGTTTTTCAAAACAACCCTATTATTTCACTCCCAAGAAAATCTCCTATATACTCGTGGTTGTGGAAACATTAACAACTAAAACCTATAGAAGACATATAAACATAAAGAAAGCAGAGCATAGAGGAAGATTTATTAATAGGAGATGAAACTCATTCCCAATATGCCAATTACCTTTTCTAGGCCAATGAGGAGCTAACCAATTAAATTCAATTGATTGAAACTTTCATCTACCGCCAGCACCCTCACCAGTTTTATTTATTTTTTAATTATCAATACCCATTTGCATTGCCAGCTGCATGCTCACCTTGGTTTTTCAATCCAAGATCGCTACTTTCCGATATTTGGAGGAGAAGTTATTGGAACGTTTTCCGGGCTGGAAGTAGAAGGTGCTTTCTTGGGCGGCAAAGGAGACACTTATTAAATCAATTGCGCTATCTTTACCACTTTATGTTATGTCTTGTTTTAAGCTTCTTATATCCCTCTGTCACATTCTGGATTAACATGTGGTCAGATTTTGGTGAGGGTTGAAGGGGTCGCCCTCAAGTTCGTTGGATTTCCTAACAGAATTTGTGTAAAAGTAAACATGATGGGGGGATGGGATTTCATTGTTTTGAGCATTTTAACCAGGCGCTCTTGGAAAATTGGGAATGGGCTCAAGGCCTCTATCCAGCATTCCAGTTGGTCCCGTGTGTTCACCCCAATCCCCCTCCTTGTAATCGACTTGCAATTGTGGAGGATACTTACCCGAAAGTTGCCGAGCTTATAATTCCGGGGGGGGGGGGGGGGTGGGATGGTGTCAACAGTCTCTCTTACATATGTTTCCTCCGAACATAGTTCGTGTCATCTTGCCGATCCCCTTACCACGTATGGGGGTAGAGGATACGTTGGTTTGGCATGATATGTGTGATGGGATTTTACAGTCAAATCTGCTTATTACCTTGCGGTTTTAGTGGGTAAGCAATTGGGGGACTAGCGTCCTACAGTAAGCTGGATGAACAGAGCAAGTTGGATGCGGATGTGGGAGCTCAAAATCCCCCAAGGTTAAAACTGTTGTTGTGGCAAATATTGAATCGGAGTTTGCCTAGTCTGATGCGCTAATTGAGAGAAGGGTCCAGATTTTGCCTAGATGCCCGGTGTGTTGAGCGAAATCTGAAACGATTGAGCACTTATTTTGGGAGTGCCCAATTGCTACAGCCCACTGGAATCACTTTGGCTTGAAGCATCTGGGGCAAGGGTTGCCACGTCAGACATTCCCTCTATTCCTCGAAAGGTGCTTGCCTGGGACGACCCAGTCGGCCCAGATTATGGCCCTGGTAACAATACTATGGCGTTTTGGAAGTCTAGGAGCTGAGCTTCCTTTGAGGGCAAGCAGTTCCTAATTCCTTAGCTGATGCACCAGTATCATCAACAACTCCATGAATGGATATCTCTGCCAGCGGATAGGATCGTTCGGGATCAGTTCTCTCTGCAGTAGAGCTTGGAGGTGGGAGAATCGTCCTGTGTCATCTGCATGTGGGATGATGTGATACATGTTAACTCACACTCAGCTGGAGAGCTGATTTTAAAGGATGAAAGAGGCTCTTTGGTCCTAGCTAGAGGGTTGGTTCTCGAGAATATTGTTTACCCTCTTGTGGTAGAGACTATTGTCCTCCGTGAAGCTATTCAGTGGTGCTAGGACCTTGGTCTTACTCACGTTCAATTTGAAGGCGGTGCGAAGGTGATCATCGGCAACATTAATCCTAAGGAGGCGTGAGGCAGCCGTGTTGGGGCTATTATTGAAGAGATTCTATGTATGCTGGCTCTGAATAGTGATTTTCGTGTTCGATTTGTAGGTCGGATTAGCAATAGGGTGGCCCATTCTGTGGTTCGAAAGGCCCTTTCTTTACCTCCGACTTCGTGTCGATTGTATGATTTTCATTCCTTGATTGAGTCCATGGTGTAATTTGTGATCTTTTTATCAATCAATATGATTATCTTATGTTGAAAAAAAACCATACGTACAAGCTTAATTGTTGTGTAATTGTATTCTTACATGAACTACAATTGTTAGTGTCATATCCTTTAGATGCAATGTTGTGCACTCGTATTACGTCATACATACTTACAACAACTAGAATGTATCTTAAATCATTCCAGAATCACGATTCAAGTAATGACAAATTATGATAAGGGTTTACCCTGGCTCGTAAATGAACTACGAAGACAAAGTGTCTTACCATAGAAAACAAAATAATATGAAAGTCATATTTTCTTCTACGAAATAATACCGATGTACACCTCTACTTTCTAAGCCATTTACATTGATGAAGTATAGCCTATGAACATCATGTCAATACAAGTTTGTGCATAGTAAAAATGCAAGCTAGCCATAGTCTATGGTTTCTTCAGTTAATTAGTAATGAGTTACATATCATGATTTTGGTGGGTTGTGTGGATGCAGGGCCAGTGATGAGTTTGAATGAACAAATCCATGACTTTGAAAGTTCAACGCTGCCAGAACTGGAGCAACTCTTGTGTTCCCTAAGGGAAGAGTTACTGCCCGATTACATGTTTGTGGTGGGAAAAGGTGGCGACGATTACACTCTTAATCACTTCTTTAATCTCACTAATCCTCGTCCAAACCTCGACGCCTTCACTTCCAATCTCATTGCCGCAGCCAAGCTCCTGGTAATTCATTAATTAACCTTCATCCCATTTTTCTTCTATTGATATTCGCGAGGGCGGTTAATATACATCGTTCGGCAACACAGAATGTGACGAACGCTTTTGTTGAAAACAACAATGATTACGTGTATAGCTCAAACCCACTGAATTTCGCAGCTCAGCTCTTCAATGGCAAGCTCAAATCTATGGTCGACACCCTGAATCAACAGCAACCTGATACCAAGTTCGTGATGATCAACGCCTATGGGATTATCGGCCAGATTCTCAACAAACCTGTGTTGGCAGGTAAACAATGCATAAACTCTGAACCCTAATCTGTTCATCCATGTTATAGAGTAGGTGCAAATATAAGATTATTCAAATACTTTGCTTTATCCCCAATACAGGATTTGGTGACACGGCAGTGTTCAAGAAGACGCTACGCGCTATCTAGGCGAGGAGGCACCGCCCAGCGCCCAGGCCGATTAGTCGTTGCCTAGGCGAGATTAAACGTTGAAAAAAATATATGATAAATAAGCCATATTACACAAAAACTCAAGTCGCCATATCATTATTCATGCATTCATATACACATACAACCCTTTTCCATTATCCCAAACATCCCAAGTCGCCAACCATGAGGAGGGATCTCACTGCTGGTCGATAAGGGGAGCGGCTGGTCAAATGGAAATGGGTAATAGAATAGGGATTGAGATTTTCACAAAAAAACTACACTTTCCCCCTTTATTAGTTGTTCTGGGCGTCGCCCACCAGAGTGAAAACTCGCCTCCAAATGCCTAGGTGCCTAGATCAATCGCCCAGGGCTAGACGGGGCGATTTCCTCCTGCCTAGCTATTAATCGCGCCTAGGCGAGAGATTAATCGCGTCTTCTTGAACACTGTGACACGGTCAATCCATGCTGCGATTGCGAAGCAAACGACCATACTATGCAACAGAGGTGGAGCTGCTTGCTATAATAGGAGAGCTTAAGTGTTCTTCGCCGGTCTCCATACAACAGTCGACAGACAGACGCAGTGAACCTTCAGATAGCAACTAGGGCATAATGCTTCCACTTGCGAGGATGATGTCTATCCGATCAAATATTGAACAACTGGCTATGCTCTAGGACTACTACTACTAATACTTTGGCAGACTAAGAAGTTAAGCTTTCTGTAGTTCCACCGAAATTAAAATGTTCCCTTCTGCTGCTCACTAACTGAATTAAGTTAAGAAGGACCTGAATCGAATCAAAACAACACCGAAAACGAAAGCTTTGACATTAATGTTTGGAACTAGCAAATGCACCAGGGAAGTTCATTATATACACCAAAAGAATAAAGCCAGCCAGCCAAATATAGGACAGGACTCTCCAAAACCCAAGGTTAGCAGTTCTCCCTAAGAATCATCACACGAGCAAGCAAAAGAAAAATATAGGGGGAAAACAAAGGGCGAAATTCGACAACCAAAATCAACCTATCTTCTTCTCAAAGACAATTACAGAAGTACATTTTCCCCTATTTTCCACTGCTTCCCAAGAGAGCACAGAAGAGAGAGGCAGTCAACCCCCAACCAAAGAATATATGACACAAGCCCTAAAAATCAGGGGGAGACCCCTAAACTTCTTTCTCCACTCCCCCGGCCACATAATTGTACCGTTTTTAATCGGGATATAAAGAGAAAATAGAAAGCTTGGAGAGATCAGACATCCATACCATTTAAGAAAATAGCTCCCTCATTGTCACTGTCACGTTTCCTTCGAAGAGCTGAAGCTTCTTCTCTCTGTCACCGTTGAGTTGACCAGAACCTCCGGTGCAATTTCCCAGCTGCCACTTCTCCTCCCCCAACTCGAGTGTCTTGTCTCATCTCTAACCGTAGCGGCTCGATGATGATCAGAGCTTAATACGGACTCCACATCTGACGTGTTGTGTGGAGCCCCACCGTTGCTCCCTCTGCAGCGTATTTCATCATCCATCTCTTCTACGTTACGACGCTGAGAGATTTTCAGCAAGTCCTCACCAATCTCCAGATCGTCCTGGACCTTCGGACGCGGGTTCCCCCCACCTGAATCTTCTTCTCCTCCGGTTGCTTCACGAGCTGTGGGCCGCCCCACAGGCCTCGGTGGTGGTTCTTCCTCTTGTGCCAGAGCACGGAAGTTGTTTTTTGATGGCTTGACCTTGGTGCAAAATACCTCCTTGAAATTGTTGACACAACCCAGGTTATAGACGTTGATCCTGTTCTCTGCCCGGTAACGAAAGTTTTCATAGGTTGTCTGAAAAAAAGGATGGAGAGAGATTACATGAGTTCACCAGCTAGAAAGTGATTCTTGCCTAACGATCAATAAAATTGGGAGTGGGAAAGAAGGTAAGCTGACCTGATTTGTCCCTATGAGGTATAAGTGGAACCCAGTTAGTCCTCCCACAAACCATAAAGAGATGAAACAGTAGATCATTAGCACGACTGAAGTAGGAGAGTCCTGTATTGCCTTCCAAACTGTAGCATGGTTATCATTCATCAAAACCTTAATGTACAAGGCCGATATGGAGAACACATAGATGCACAGAAGTGTTGCAGAAGAAACAAACATGAAGAAGTAACGGTAGTTCCGCTGCACACACAAAGTAGAATTTGGTAAAGCAGCAGCATAGTTAAGATTTGTGATGGGTGAGTTTGTTCTGGTAGAATAAGTAACTTAATTTTAAAATCGAACCAAATAAACCTTTGTTACACTTCTATTAAAAACTTTAACGAAAAAGCAAAAGCTAAAGTGCATGAACTGTTAACTGCAAATAACATACCAGTCCTATGCATTGGCCCACCCAAGGGCAATGATGGTCAAATCGTTCCACACAATTGTTACAGATGGAACAGTGAGAACAGCGGGGAGGGCGATAAAGCATACATGTATCACAGTATTTGACTCGAACAGGAATCCCGTTGACCATCACTTCTTTCGTCCTAGGAAACTGTAGGCTCGGTGTTTGTCTGCCACCAACCTCAACTGATGCAGAAGAATCATAACGGAACTCCTCTTCTGGTGGATGCAAATTGCGGGGGAGAATACCAGGGTCCCGTGCAGATGTCAGAAACAGAAGAATCAATACCTTTCAAAATTCAATAGCATATTAGTTATACTGAAGAAAAATGACCAAGTGGGTTCAAAGAATTAGGGAGCATAATTATGTTGACAATGAGATAATAGAGATTCAGATTTAGTTTACTAGAGAAGAAACAACATAGAAGGTAAATAATGTCTTTTCCAGGTTAAATAGTCTAGAATGCACTTTTCTCTGTAGCCAAACCATGAGCATACATAAACCTAGAACAGATTCTATAACAGCCTCGAGTAGGGATGCGATGTATGTTGGAAGAATCATAGTTGTCATCAACTCCAGCTTAGAAGAGCCTGATGCATAATCTAGAGAGAAAATATAGAGATGTCATAACTGCTACCTAAATTACCATCCATAACCAGGGATAATTAATGCCTAAGATGGTGAAGAAAGTGGGGCTTACGAAACTTAATTCGGTTCAGGGAGGGAAATCCTAAGGCATCCTCAAATGTCATGGCATCTATAAGTTGACACTTGAACTCCAGCTAAAAAAAAGCAGGCGCAGGTGATTTTACAACTGTCAACTGTAAGCCAAAGTAACTAACGAGTGGTTGAAGGGCCTAACCAATTTTTCTGTGCCAAACACATTTAGACATTAAGAGGCTGTCTGGAACTTGGGGATACACTGCAAATAAATTTTGGCTGGGAAACCACAGAATTAGTGCACTTACATAGATGGTAAAGAGAATTGCAACCACTAGAATGGCATAGCCTGCATCGTAGGGTGAAAATGCATGACGTAGATGCCTTGCAACAAATACACAAAATAGCACAACTGGAACAATGATGAGTGATAAGGTGACAACCAGTGATCTAGCATCTGGTCCAAATATAAATCGCCCTCCAAGGATGAACTTCTGCAGAATAGAAAAGAACACAATTATTTAGAAGGAACCTACCAGAAATGAAAGGAGAACATTAATATCTCATCGCTTCATCTTTCGGAACTCATGCCCAGAGACAGTTTTGAGATGTTACCGAGCCATCAACAAAGTACGTGATTAAAAAAAAGGAGCTTAAAACCCATTGAATTTAGATAAGCTAGCCATTGGAACAGGCATATCTGCACAGCCTTTTAAACTAGCTTCTTTTTACTACAATCTGGACAAGAGTCTTTTGTTCGGGACAAAATTTAACAATGAACCATTGAACACAAATGAGACAGACACCAAGCTGAACATCATATCCACTACTAATTAACTCAGACTTGGATGTGCAACTCAAATGCAAATCTATTGTTCGGGACAAAAATTATCACCAAGAAATTACCAGGGAAGTAAAGTTACTCCCGTTCCAGGAAAAAAGAAAACTATTAGAACACGACCTCTGCTAGCATTTAAAGTAAGCCAGCACGATACCAGAATTTAAACTAAACTTTCCACGCGGCTCGTCAGAAAGCGAGCAGACAATAAACTGGACTTGCCATCAGTTCATCACAGCTAAAGAAAAACTGCACGATGTTGTCTGATTACTATCACATAGCATAAGAAAAAGTTTAAACATTTTAGATCAGCTTAAAGTCAACCAGGCACAGTAGCAGGAATTCATGAAGATGAGATTAGGAAGTTAAGTGCAAGAGAGAGGCCAATCAATGTTCTGTATTTTTTTTTATTACCCAGGAACCTCAATCCCACGTGCCACTTTGTGGCAGTGGGGTCTACTAAACCTGGGGAGTACCACATGAACATTAACAAATTAGAACACAAGTATGATGGTCACTGGATAGTGCCGAAGTGACAACCGCTCGTAACATGATAACCAATATAGTAACATTAGAAGGTTTCTAAACAGCAAAGTATTCCTACTGGAGAAGTTACTATCTTGAAAGAACTAGTCAGCATCTCACAAGAAATTTATGTAATATAAGATAAAACTCCACTACCAGAAAGATAAAATAAAAAATAAATAAAAACGTGCGGGGAGCCGGAAGGGGAAGCTTCAAAGAAGCAGGGACATTTATCCGAACCACCTAACAGAAGCACCTGAGTTCTACTATGATAGGCAGACAAGTAAATGACTTTAATACTGTCATGGAAATAGCAATATTACAATGCTAGATCAGACAATATAAACAAACCCGTAAGGACACTAGCAACACAATCCAATCTAGAGGAGAAGTGCTATAGAATAAATGTATTCTCTGCAACAAACTTAAAGCAATCAGCTTAGAAAAGAATATAGAATATTTATTCAGGTGAACAGCTCATTTTTTAGTTGCTTTCTGATGTAACTATAGAAAGCTATCCCAAAAGCCACATGAATAGTACTCCCCTGTGCAGGAAAAGCAAGTTGCACAACACAACTGACTGTGAGCAGAGTGTCGGGCCATAACAAAAGAAAGCATCAGAAAATTAGCATAAGAGTGGGAAAAGCTTTGAGAAACTTAATAGGGCAGATGGTACCAACTCATGGTCAATTGAAGAAATATGCATACCATCTTAAAGAACATCTATCTGTATCAATCTTGCAAGAAGTCTGATATCTTAGTTATATCAATTATATCCTTAAGATTTGCTAAACTTCTAGTGCGCTCATGCAAGGCAAACTACTGGCCATTATTTAAATGGCGTATCATTGCAAAGTTGGGTAACATATGTTCAAATCAGTAGAGGACTAGTTGTGTCTTGTATGTTTAAACACCATTACCTTGATAATTAATGAATTTTAAAGGATTGATGCACAGTACAAAGGATACGTTGCTTGCTTTATGTTACCAGAACGACATGAAGCCCAAAACTAGATATGAATATGATCAAACTTGAAGTTCACACAGTAGCAGATAGACATTATACCAAGCTCGGGCAACATATGTAACACAAATGCACAGACAAGTCACTGCCGTTACTTTGTAGCTCTGGTACCTCAGTAGCACAAGCACAGCAATGAATCTTACCTGGTGGTAATCAAAATTTAATGTGATATTTCTCTCCCAAGTTCCAAGTTCATACCAAGTATCACCGAAGATCTCAATTCTCAGTCAATGTTTTCAAGAAACAACCAGAAAAGGTCGAAACCTAGATGTTCTCAGGCACCAATTAGAGGACTATTCCGGCTTTAATTCAGCTGCAAAATAACTACAGTCTCAATCCTACACCAAAGATAGGAGGAATTACAAGAAACCACATTTTGCCATCAAATTCTACAGGCTGGCACACCCAGAAGTGCTGAGGCAAACCCCAGTAGTCAAACTAATCCGAGCAAATCAGAAACTGCTAAAGGCCAAGAATTTTGATGAAATCAAAGGCAAACCAACAAAAATACTCGACCCCGAAAACCCAATAGAGGGGAAAAGAGAGCCTTACATTACTTCCTTTCCAGACTTCGAACACGCGCTTCGCCATGTCAGTAGCCTCCACGCGCCTCCGGCCCTCTCGTCTCCTCCTTCTCTTCCAATCGAACGGTGGGACTGCGCAGGCAAGGAATCGGAGATTTCAAACTTGCTCTTCTTCTTCTTCTTCCCGTCGTTCATTTCAATTCCAGAGCTCCATTTCCCGCTGCCACCCCCACGACCGAATCAAATGATTGAAGCAGCCGACGAACGATAAAATAATAATGGCCGCCCCCCGCTTTTTCTATTCCCCCCTCCTGAACTGCGCTTCTTTTCTTTTCCCTACCCGCTTTCCCCTTTCCAGGAAAATTTCCAGCAGAATAGAAAATTCGCCACTCAGTGAATGAATTGACCGAAGACGGGAACAGTAAACCCTCAGGCGACGAAGCGAGCGAGAGAAGGAACAGTGGGTGGTGATCTTTTCGCCGAGTTAGAGTGTGAATGAAGATGGCGGTTTGTGGGCTTTTGGAAATTCGAGGGAAAAGGGAAATTTTTCCGTTTACCTTTCTTCTCTGTGTTTTTTCTTTTCTTTTGTGTGCCTCGCCTCCGCTCCGCTTACAGAGTGTTTTTACGGGTCAGAAAACGACACTTTTTTTTTTGGTTAATTGCATGGTTGGTCACTGACATTACAAAAAGCGTTCATGTTTGGTCACTAGAAAAATTTAAATCTAACTTTGGTCACTAACTTTACAAAAACGGTTCATTTATGGTCACTCTCCGTTAGCTGCCGTCCAACGCCGTTAACGGAGTCCGTTAAGTGATGACGTGGCTGACGGATTCGCCTAATCAGCACCTTTTGACCCCAAATTTGACTGACCTGACCTGCCACGTCATTTAAACCCTCCATCTCAGCAAAACCTAACCAAACCACTAACCAAATCAGACCACACCCGACCCGACCCAACCCACCAACAAAAAATGACCCACCCACTAATCAAAACCTAATTTCTAAATCCTACAGACATTCCCCTTCTCCTCTCCATCCCGCGCCGCCTTCATCTCTTCCCTGCGAATCTTCTTCTCCGCGCGTTTCATCGGCGACGAAGGAGGGAGCCCGCGACGAAGGAGGGAGCCCGCGCCACAGTGTGGTTGACTCTCCATGGGGGAAAAGGAGCTCTCCATGGTGTATAATTAATGGAATCGTACTCCAATCCGCCTCCGTCGAGCTGCGCGAGGTGTCCGCACAATGCGTCGATGATTGCGTTTGCGGCGGCGAATTCACCGCGGAACCAGGCAAGGATCGCGTCCTTGGCGAAGGCGGCATCGGTCGTCATTAGCACCGGCGGTGGCTGGATTGACGGAAACGCGGCCGGTGGAGCTCGATCGGGCGTCGGGGACGCTGGCCCTGCCGCCGGCATCGCTGCCCTGCACAATTTAGGGATTTTTTTTTATTTGTGGACAGCCGAACTCTCTGATTCACTCTTTTTTTTCCTCGGTTAGAGGCCCGGCGAGGGAAGCTATGAGAATATGGGGGAAATGTTGTTGGTGGAGAGAAAGGGAGAAACGGAGGAAAAGGGAGCTTGGGAATAGTTTAATGGCGAGAGAGAGAGAGAGGTGGGGGAAGCGAGTCTGCGAGTGGTGATATTATAAATGGAGAGTCAACCACACTGTGGCGCGGGCTCCCTCCTTCGTCGCGGGCTCCCTCCTTCGTCGCCGATGAAACGCGCGGAGAAGAAGATTCGCAGGGAAGAGATGAAGGCGGCGCGGGATGGAGAGGAGAAGGGGAATGTCTGTAGGATTTAGAAATTAGGTTTTGATTAGTGGGTGGGTCATTTTTTGTTGGTGGGTTGGGTCGGGTCGGGTGTGGTCTGATTTGGTTAGTGGTTTGGTTAGGTTTTGCTGAGATGGAGGGTTTAAATGACGTGGCAGGTCAGGTCAGTCAAATTTGGGGTCAAAAGGTGCTGATTAGGCGAATCCGTCAGCCACGTCATCACTTAACGGACTCCGTTAACGGCGTTGGACGGCAGCTAACGGAGAGTGACCATAAATGAACCATTTTTGTAAAGTTAGTGACCAAAGTTAGATTTAAATTTTTCTAGTGACCAAACATGAACGCTTTTTGTAATGTCAGTGACCAACCATGCAATTAACCCCTTTTTTTTTTCTTTCTATTTTCCCCTCCTTTGGCTTTCTCTTCAGTTCTCTGGTCCCGTTCATATTTTCCATTTTTGTTTTTTGAATGCAGTCGAGTTGGCAAATAATATGGAGATTCCTTCTAAATAAATAATCAAAAGGGAGGATTCGTAATTAACAACTGAAAAATTAGGTTCATGGTACTTCTAATGTGTAGCTTTAACAAACACATCACTAGACTATGTCACTTTGTACAAATACCTTGTTACACTACGCCATTCGTAGTTCTTTGATAAAATTTTATATCCGAACTCATTGTAGTTGTGAATGATTCATGCTTATTATACATGCCCAATATTTTAGACTTCATGTCAAAGTGAATATTAATGCGTATTTTTCTTCCTAGTTTTTACGGTATTATATTTATGATCTAGCGTTTGTGAATTAATAACTTAAAAAATTAATGCACCAAATTGAATGGCATAAGACGACTCAAGTCCTACATACATACACACACCGTGTGAGACATCATAGACATGCTTAATGGACTCGTCGGTAACAATTTCTGATGAATTTTCAACGCGAGGGACTAGAACATGATTAATTGACGTGTTACACGTACTTGTTTGTTAAAATTGATGTTACGAATACTTAATTGCTAATATAAAAATGAAGAACCATGACTGTGTTTGTATTGTCCTCTTCCGTGAGTGCAGAGTGCAGACCAAAAAGGGGGCTGAAATTAAGAGTTTTACGTTTGCGAAATAAAGTGGACCAAATTTGGAATTAATGATAGTTAATGTGCTTCCGTCTTAAAATAAATTGATTACTGGTGGAATTTACTATATACACGCGTTATAGCGGGAACCAGTGAAGACACGCATTAAAAAAAATTGACTTTTGTTTAACGCTGTAATGTAGTAGTTGACTTCAAATATTTACATGGAAAACGAAAAGGTGTTTGCATTAATACGTCAAACGGTCAAGTCAAGGTTAAGGTAAGTGACTAACTGTGCTTTATTTTCTCAAAATTTTATGATTGGTACCTAAATAAATAGTAAAGGATGCTACGTAACTCACCAGATAATATTCTGAATTGCTAAATGTCGCCCTAAGAATTGTTAAACGTCACCCTAACTTAAAAGTCAAATTACCTATATACCCTTAATGAAAATTGAAAAATTGCAACAACCAAACAACCCTTTCACCCTTCCACCCTCTTCCCAGCGGGACTCTTCCCTCTTCCCTTCCACCCTCTGCAACTTCTTCCCGCCGCCGGCAACCCCCTCCCCCTCTGCAACTCCTTCCCGCCGGCCTCCTGCTCCCGTCGTTGCCATCATCTCGCTCCCGTCGTCGGCCTCCTGCTCCCGTTCCCGCCATCTCGCTCCCGTCGCGCGCTGTTCCCGTCGCCGGAGAAGAAGGTCGCGCCAGCCTCCTGCTCCAGTCGTCTCGCTCCCATCGCCGGCCTCCTGCTCCAGTCGTCTCGCTCCCATCGCATCCAATCCATTTAAATCCAATCCAATTGATCCAAATCCAATTGGATTGGTGGATTCATGGATCCAAATGGCAAGTTACGGTTTGGTGCCTATATTTTTTATATTTTACATTTTGCTACCCAAAATTTAATTTTTATACAAAAATATCATTGGAAAATTACGTTTTGGTACCTAAAATTTTTCATTATGACATTTTATTATCTAAACTTTTCACATTTTACATATTGGTCCTTGGCTGAGGATGTCATTTAGATTCATGGATAATCCACCAATCCACTTGATCCAATCCATAAATCCACCAATCCATTTAATTCATTGATCCACCAATCCATAGATCAATCCATTTGCCACCTCTAGTTGAGTCCATTGAGGCATTGATGCCACTAGAAAAGGAAGTAATGCTAGGTTCATAAACCATTCATGGTGAGCTTTTCCAGTCAGAATGTCATTGGGTGAATATGTTTTCTTTTAATTGTCTTAGAGAGGACTACTTTTCTGCTGTAGTCAACCAAATTGCGAGACAAGGAAATGGCATGGAGAAAGACGAGCTGGAATATTTGCAAAGCAAGACATTCCGATTGGAACCGAACTGTCGTATGATTACAACTATGAATGGTATGTGCGAAGGTTCGTTGTTTGTGCAGTGCGGCCAGCTGTTCTGGATTTCTTGGTGCAAAATCTCGTGCTTTCCAGGTAAAGCTTTTCTGAATGTTCTTGCACTGAAGCTTTATGTTTGTAGCTGGTAGTGAGATATGCAATTTTTTATTCTGATTAACATTCTGAAATTTGGCAGAAACAGCTGCAGACAAAATGCTTAAGAAGAGAAAATGCAGAACAGAGAACACATTAGATAGGGAAAGAGTGACAAAAGTAAAATTTGGATGGAATAAAATTAAATTGATGTGAAACATCATAACAGCACCAGTGGTCTAGTGGTAGAATAGTACCCTGCCACGGTACAGACCCGGGTTCGATTCCCGGCTGGTGCATCTGGTTTTAAGTTTTTCACTTCTTTTTGCAGTTTTACAAAATCTTTGGGCTGATTGCTGCATTTTTAGTGGGCCTCATTCGGGGCTTGTTATGGCTAACATTGAGTATGGGCATGAGATGATTCATAAATTGAATCAAAATGTGAATTGTAATTGAATCCAATCCAATAATTTCAAAAAAAAAAAAAAAATCGAATCATAGTGTCGTGCACTAATATAAGTGCTAACAAAATTATGGAATTAGTCAGATTACTTCAGGATGGCTCTTTGGTCCATGATCATCATTTTAACGTTGCACTTGAAGTGGTATGGCTTAGGAGCTGACATGAATTGTTATTTATCCGATGAACAAAATCTATCATTTAGAGGAATATTTTCTTGGTCACCATCAATATAATAAATGTATTTCACCTACTCACATGGAATCATCAAGAATTCATGAGATTTGCTATAACATTGAATATAAGCATTATATTGGAGTTACTTGTCATAACATCTTACAGTTATCACCATGAGTACTCCCTTTCAGTGGCGGATCCAGAATTTTTTTGTACGGGTGTCCTCTTCCAAAAATTAAATTAAATAATTTATAAATCAGGAAAATTCTGATTAGTACAAATTTTAACAAAAAGTCACCATGTGTTTTCATATTTCGAATAAAATATAAAATACATTCGGTGTTAGATAAGTTAATCATGTGAATAATTGTGTTAGTTTGTTGGGAGTTAGTCGTTTAAAGTGTTAGAGCTGCTTACGTGTCAAGATAGATTAGTTTACTTGGTCAACAGCAAATTAGGGGGTTTAGTTAGTGGTTTGCTAAGTTTCAGGATGTTCAGTTAGTAGGCTGCTGAGTTACAGGAATGTGAGAGTAGAGGGCCGAGATTAGTGAGGGGTTTTGAGTCAAGACTTTGTATTTAAGTTGTTTTTCTCATTTCAATAAAACTGGTCAGTTTGCATTTCATTTGAGTTTACATTGTGGTATCAGAGCTCAAGCAAGCTGTAACCAAAGGCTTTCAAGCAAATTAAGAGTGGTTGAGAGAAGTTC